TTTACTCCTGCAAGAGGGTGTGTGCACATAGTCATACATACAGCAACAGGCCAGCGAGTACACCGAGTGGGCAGTCCACTTGGGTTTTTAATCCTTGACGCTAGTCTCAAGGCTGTGTCTCACCCTATTGGCTAGGGTTTTGACTGCACTATCTTTTCCCTTACCCAGTTGGCTAGTTCAAATTTTTAAGGCGTGCATTCCTACTTTAGGAAAAGACAACTAGAGCGATCATAAAGTCTTTACTCCAGGAAGTAGTTAAAAGAAAATGAGAACAATCATAATTTTTTTTTCCCCTCCCACACCAGGAATCCATTTTTGTGCATAAGAGAGTTAAAAACCTGTATAGGACCCTCTGATTTCAAAGATACATTTGATTTTTATAAAGGAGGCTGATTGAGAACAAATGATCTAAAGATTTGAGTAGAGTGGGAGACAGAATAGGGTAAAAAAAAGTATACTGCTGTTGGCCAGTGTCTAGGTCATGTCATTAAAGATGGAACATAAAGCGTTGATGCCTTGGTATTGTTTTTATTAGACAAATGTGTCCTGCAGAAATGCTTATTGGAGAGAAAGGTCAGTTTTGTTTTGTTTTTAAATTTTAATCTTAGTCGTTAACAACAAAATATTTAAACGATCATACCTTAAGATCATGAACAGAGCAATACTATCTATGCTTAACAAAAACAAGACAGTTTGTGAAGTTTGGAAAAACAAATATAGGACAAATCACAGGAAGCCTTACTTTATGGAGTCAGTAGTAAACCAAGAGGTGATCCAAACAGAAAATATTGGATAACTTGAAAAATATTGCATATGTATTGGTAGCAAGGGTTCTATTTGAGAATGTAAAAATAGAATACTCACTGCTATTGAGTCAATTCTAATACATAGCAACCCTAGGTAGAGTTTCTGAGGTAGGTTTTAAACCCTAGGTAGGCTTTAAATCTTTACTGGAGAAGAAAGCCTCATCTTTCTCCAGAGGAATGGATGGTGGTTTTTTACCCTGTTCTGACTCCCACTCTACTCAAATCTTTAGATCATTTGTCAACCTTATGGTTATCAGTCCAGCGCTTACCCTACAGCACCACCAGAGCTCCTTAAAACTTGGAATAGAAAGAGACAATTTTAAAAGGAATCCTTTTGAGTTACAATAGATTTTTAAGTACTTTAGGGAAGTTAGATCATAGAATGGAAGAAGGAAGTATTCCAGAGACTCAATGTTGGGGTGGAAGAGAAAACTGTATTTTCTGTAGCCAAGGGGACTACATTAAGCAATATACCCAGGAAGGACTTGTCAGGATTTCAGGAGGGAAATGCTTCGTTATGCCTGAAGCTATAAGACTACATCAAAGGTTGCAGTGATCTAGGTAATCTAGAGGAAGGATTTTTTTTTAAACTCACAATGAATATGCTGTGTCTGAAGCTGTACAACAAATCATTTCATAATGTTTTCTTTTCTGTAAGATGGAGTTGGACAATTGTGAATAATTGTTAGCAGAATTAATTGCGATGATCACAACTGTAATTGTAAAAGATGTGTAACTAAAAGAGGGGAATGGTTAATCTTTCATTTCAGAAACAGATAATCCCAGGACCATCAAGAAGGAAGAGCAGGAGTGAAGTGTGAACTCTCTTACCTAGAAAAGCAGCAACAGCAGAGAAGGTGCTGCAGATTGTACCCTTTGGCCATTTAAGTAAATGTATATATTTTTACTTTGTAAGTGTACTTCAAATATTTTTGTCTTGTTAATTTGTGAAGCATAAAATGTTAATGGAGAGCCACAGGAAGTAGAATAAATGTTGTAGGGAAGGGATTGTAATCACTGAGATGAAATAAGGTACATTGTTTGATAAATGTAGAGTCGATGATCTTGTTTGTAAACCTTCACCCAATTCACAATAAAAAGTTAAAAAAAAAAACATGAAGGAGTTGGCGCACATGACAGCTCATCGTTTTAATATTATTAATGCTTACTGTTATTAAGCAAATGGTTTATATGTTGCTAAGAATGTACAGAGCAAAAACATATACCAATTCAAGTGTCTACATATATATTTCAAGGAGCTCTGGCAGCATATTGGTTACAAATTGGGCTGCGAACCACAAGGTCACCAGTTAGAGACTATCAGCTGTTCCACAGGAGAAAGATGAGGTTTTCTGCTCCTGTAAAGATTTACAGCCTCGGAAACCCTGTACAAGGTCACTATGAATTGGACCCGACTTCACGGCATGTAACCACCACCACCACCACATATATATTTCAGAGACATGATTACATTCTTTAAGTTGTCTAACCATTCGCTTACGCTTCTTTTCTGAGTTGTTCCTCCCCTATTAACATAAACTCACTGGTGTGGCGCTGTGGATTAATGAGATGGACTGCAAAGTCGCTTCAACTGCAAGGTCATTGGTTCAAGCTCACCAGCTGCTCCTTGGAAATCCTATACAGAGTCACTATGAGTCAGAACCATTTTGACGGCACTTAACAACATCTGCCTTCTAAATTTCCTACTTAATCTTTTGAATTACTATTATCAATTTGATTCCATCTGTTGTTGTTAGGTGTGAGAAGAAACGTTACGGGGTCTCCCAATGGTTGTTGCACTTGGGCCCATTGCTGCTGTCTCTGTGCCAATCTATCCAGCTTCTGGGGGAGGGTCCTCTTTTTTGCTGACCCTCTATTTTATAAAGCATGCTATTCTTCTCCAGGGACTGGTCCCTCTTGACAATATGTCTGAAGCATGAGAGATGAGAATAACAGAAAAATGTGCTTTATTGTCTCCACAAGTTGACTTTTTAGCATCTTGAAAATTCATCAGTGGGGACAGTCATTCCGGACTCTCCTAAACATCAGGTTGCCAACTGTCAGAATCAGAACTGGACTGACGAAGGATCTGAGCCAGTTTGGCAATTCTTCGGTACTTATACTGAAAAGGAAGCTGACTGGGTGCTTATAAAGGATTCCTGGTGTGGTGCCGTAGAATTAACATTGGAGTTGGGAACAACAAGATTGGCAGTTCAAACACACCAGCTGCTCCTCGGGAAACCCTATACAGGATCACTATGAGTTGGAACTGACTCGACGGCATTTATAAACAAAAGAAGCTGCAAGAAAAGACCATTCATGTAATGAGCCAAATTTAGGCCTCCTTTCTGTAGTCCTGGTGGTTAAGCACTTGGCTGCTAACTGAAGGAAAGGCAGTTCAAATCCACCAGCTTCTCCTCGGGGAAAAAAAGCCCGGGTGACCTGCTTCAATAAAGATTATAGTCTAGAAAACCTATGGAGCAGTCCTACTCTTGTCTATAGTGTCACTGAGAGTTGGGAACCAATAGCGCATGACTCAGTGGAGAAAAGATCAGTAGAAAAGTGTCAATAGGATTTTCATGGTGTCCTGCCCTAGGGCATATGGCAATTGAAAGGTGAGGCAGCTACATCAGTCTGAGGTGTCTTTACGCAAAACTGACCCCCAGAGTCAGGATAATATCTCACTTCTAAACATGACAACAAGGATTGTAGCAGCTTTCCCTTGACTGATGGGCAAAGGGGTGATTTTTTAAAAACAGGTCCGATAAACACCATCTTTTAGGAAGACCCTGGCATATGCCAGTTGATTCTGCCAATTCTTTCTGAACAGAAGAACTAGTGTGCTCTGGGGAATGAAGGAAGTCCTTCAAAAGGGGCTGCATTTCATAAAAGGGGCTGAGGAATCTTGGTGTGGCACTGTGGACTAATGCGTCAGACTGCAAAGTCCTTTGAATTTTAAGATCTGTGGTTGAAGCTCACCAACCAGCAGCTCCTTGGAAACCATATGCCTGGTCTCTATGGGTTGGAATCAACTTGAAGGCACTTAACAACAACAACTACAAAGGGGCTGAACCCAGGGGAAAAGACTCAGGAATTAAAGGACAGGAGGGTGTAATTTCTGGAGTAATTACAAGGCTTTTTCCATCCTGCTTCATGGAACAACAAGGAAAGCCTTGTTCATTTTATTAAAAAAAAAAAAAAATTTTTTTTCAAAGATTTTTTTCTTTACCGTCATTCTCCCTATCCCAGACAATCCAGTGTAGGTTTTCCATATGACTCATAATTCCTTTCAAAGGAGGAGCTGAATTCATAAAACTGATGGGTGAGATGGGGTAAACGCTGGGTGCCCCAAAGTCATTATCTGTATACACCTTGTCTTGCCCGCCCCAATTGTAAAAGTCGGGGGTGGGGAAATCCAGCCTACAACTCATGACCCAACCAAAAAATCAAACTCACTGCTATCAAGTCATTCCGACTCACAGCAACCCTATAGGGACAGAATAGAACTGACCCATACGGTTTCCAAGCGACTGCCACATCGTTCTCCTTAGAGAACCTGGTGGGTTCGAACCTCGGACTTTTTGGCTGCTGAGAGAGAGCGTTAAGCCTAGGATGGCAGATATTATTAAAGCGTCTGGAGGCCGGGCTGGGCGACTGCCTGAGCGGCAGGCGCGGGAGGGTCTGCGGCGGGCGGCGCTGCAGTAGCAGCCTCGGCCCCGCCACCGCTCTCGGGCGCGAGTGTGCGCGGGTGTGGAAGGCCGGCTTGCGGGCCGCGAGGGGTGTGCGCGCGTGAGCCCGAGCGGGGCTCGCCCCTCATCGGCGCCCGCTGCCCCGCCGGTGATCGCTCTCCGGCTGTCCCCAGCACCGTCGGCCCCCCACGGCCGTTGGTCCGGGCGGGGGAGGGAGAAAGTGAGACTCGGTGTCATCACCATCCATTGTCAGGAGGGGAGGAAACTGGAATCCAGCAGCGGCGAGCAGCAGCTGGGCGGTCACATCTGGGAATGCAAAGCAGACCAACCCCCCTCCACCACCTCCTCTCTCTCTCTCGGGATCACTTCCGAGACCACTTCAGCTTCAGCCCCTGCCTCGGCCAGAGGTTTCATTTTTAACTGAATATTTACGAAAGCTAGAAGCGTGCGAGGGGGGTGGGGTGGGGTGGAAATAGCGGCTGCTTTTTTTCCAGGGATTTATTTCATGGGGATGTGTTCAAGGCAAGAGCGAATTCAGAAGGATATCGACGTCGTGATCCAGAAGTCTAGAGCCGAGAAGGACTGTCTGTTTGCAGGTGAGTTCTCGCCTTTCCCCAGCCTCGAACCCAACTCCAGCTTCCTCGGCCGGCCCGCCGACTCCCCCTTTCCCAGTTTCCTGACCGCGACGTGTGTGGTTGGGGGTGGGTTGCATGTCCCCATTCCGTGGTTCTTTGGGCAACAGCTGCTGCAGCGAGAGCAGGAGCCAAAAGGGGGAGAGGGCACCAGCGTCACCTCCCCAACCCTCTGTAGGGGCAGCCACCAGTGTTCGGGACAGAACCCCGGTGGCCCGAACGGGGTTCGAGGCAGAGGAGCAGTGCATTAAAATTTTAGTCCCCTTGCCCCCCAGCAGATGGCTGGGAGCGTCCAAGCCTGTCTCCCGTTTCCAGCAGCAGTCGCCGAGCTCGGCGGGCTGGACCGCTGGGTTTGCGCAATGGGCTGAGAGGCGGCGGCGGCTGTAGTGGCAGGGAACGGAGCCCGTAGCGTAGCGCTGCGCTCGTCGGCTGCGCTCGGCGCCGAGGCCCCCCGGCGGGAAGTGCTGGGCCGATCTCCGGCTCCTTCGACTCCCTGCAGCCCACCCCCACTAGAAATGCGTTGCCCGGGAAAGAGAAGGGGTTCCCCTGATTCCCGAGGCTCCTCACACCCCTGCCTGGGGGTCATTTTTCGTCCATTTTGCTCCCCCAGGAGAGGGATCTGGTGTAGCTTTTACAGCCTCGAGCCCGGCGGGGACCGCTTCCGGCCTCCCGGACTGGGAAATTCCCGCCGTTGTCATGGCACCCGGCACTTGTTGCGGGGGGCGGCCTTCCCGGTACTACTCTGCCGAGGTGAGCGGCGTGCCTTTCCGCCAGGCATGGAGAGGGGACCTCGCCGCTCTCGGGCCCCTCGCTACCTCCCCGCCAGGCCTTCCTTTCGTTCCTAAAAAAAACTGGGGCCCAAATCATGAACGGAGTTAAAAATCAACACACGGGGTAGCTTTTTAACAGGACTTTTTGTTTCAGATTTCAGATACTCAGACTCCACCTTTACTTTCACCTACGTTGGCGGCCCCAAAAGGTATTTATGTGTGTAGAGTTGCTTCATTTCCTGTTCACACGCTGGTGTTTCCTTTGTTCTTAATGCGTTCTGCGTTCCAGTGTATTTTGTTGTTGTTGCTGTTCTTCAGCCACGACCCAAGCCTGAAGTGCCCTGGGTTTTAAATTGCGGAGGGGACATGTGTTTGATTTCAAATGTTTGTGAAAACCACACCAAATGCAGTGATCAGAACTCTTACACTCTGGATGTTACAGGGTTCTACTACAGTAATAATTTGGCTGTTGATACAGTCAAGTAGGTGCTAAGCTGGAATACTTAGCATGAAGTGAAATGCATAAGGTGATAAATGCCACGAAATAGTTTGGTTTCAAGTAATGATATTGGTGAGTTGGGGCTACACATTTCCATGTTTTCTAATGGTTGACATAAACCTATAATCTGCCAGTTCTCCACAATGTTGTCTTTTTCCTTTTTTAAAGGAGTGGTACTTTGCTTTTCACATTGGTTTTAGCAAAGAATTTGGATATATACCTAAAGTGTATGACTTCTTCCTTTTTTGGGGAAAAAATGAGAGATGCTTATTTTAACATTAAACTATTAACAATTTGAAAGAAGATTTTTTTTTTTTTAAACTTTATTTTCGCCTGTTTATCCCTTTGGGGACACAGTGTTTTGAAAGACAGTCCTCATATATGGACTGTCAGACCTTAGAGGGACCTCTGACCAGCCCTGCTGTTATAACTTGACATCTAACATTTGCTTATATTCCAAAATAGCTTTAGCTAATGGCAACATTTAAGAACATATACCTTGCAAAAGAAGGTTTCTTTAAAAACATTTTTTATAAGGTTGGAATCAGTGTGAACCTTTAAAAGCATTTTGCTTTTCCTTAATGAAGCTTTAACTAAAAACTATCATGTTATATATATACTGAAACAGAGCAACGACTTCTGAGGATGGCTAAGGACCAGTAGTGTTCTGTTGTACACAGGGTCCCTGTGAATCAGCACTAACTTGAATGCACCTAACAACAAACAATAATATATATATTGGTTTATTTAACAGTTAAAAATAAAACAGTGAATCACTAAATTTATATTGATAACTTACTTTTGGGCGGAATAAAATTTCAGTATGTCTTCATTGTCCTTGTAATTAGCAACAACAAATAATTAAATAGGAGACTCAATTAACTTAATGCTGCTCCTACATTTAATATCCTCTTGTATAATTTTAACAGTTACAATGTGCTACACATAAGTGGCCCATTGTAAATATTCCCCACACAACTGGGTAGGTATCTGCTCAAATGGCCTGTTTTACAATTGTTGCTGTTCTTTTTGTGAGATATGTGTGGTCGGGGAATGAAAGACCTGTGTGGGCTTTTCAATGAACTAACTTTCTGATTTTAGATAAAATACTTGAGAGTTCTTTTGGCCTCAGTTTAGCCTTCCTTATGTGTGCAAAGAGGGAGTTGAAACAGACATTTAAACTGTAAAATCTGCTAGGTATTACACGAAGATTCCTTATCAGCAAATTATTGAAGTGGTTGTAACATAGCCAGACATGTAAGGTATACGGTCTCCAGGAGCAAGACCTGGGTGTTGGAATGAAGGATGAACGAATATAACATCAGTTTCCACTGTAGAAACAAACACCATGGAAGTATACCATAGTGTTCTTAAAGTAAGAGATGCTTCTTTTTCTATTTAATTTTGTTAAAGGGATAGTATTTTCTTTTGTTCCTGGCTTAAATTCCTGGAACTTGTATATCTAATGTGGAACAACCTGTAATAGGAGAAAGATAAGCGGTACAAGTACTAGCATGACTGATTGTCTTCTCAAACCTGCTTACAATATATAGAAGGTTTTGTAGTATAGTAAAGGTTGATAATCCATTTATGGTTTGCAGTTCATAGTAAACATTTTCCTGAAACACAAAACAACGAAAACATAGATAAGTTATATTTTTTTCTTTACTGTTATTATAATCTGATATTTATTACCCATTTTCCATTCTGACACATCAGTTGAATATTTAAAATTAGAATAATTCTCATGATTTAATGTGCTTATCAATTCATAATGTTCAATTAATAGTGTAATTTCAGGTAAACTAGGCTTACTTTACCATTGGAAGAAGTGCAAGTATTATAGAGAAATAGTATGTAACTATCTTGAAATGTATTTAACTACCATTTCATATAAACCATTGAGAACATATTTCAAAAATAATTTTTGATTCATGTTGTTGATCTTACTGAATATAACCATTTTTTGCCTAACACTTTTCAAGAATGAATTGTATTTTGTTCTAAAGACAAAACTTGTTCTTGTATACTTTAAAAAAAAAAAACAAAACACAACAAATAATATTGAGAATTTTTTTTTTTTTTTTTTTTGGCACATGCATTTCTTATGTTTCTGAGGATGAAAGGAAATGCTAAAAGTGGTTTTGCTAGGGCTGGTCAGTGACCTAGTAAATTGACCTTTTATTTTGAGGGCTTCAGAGAGATAATGTTTGCTAGCATCTGCCTTTCCTTCTTTGTGGTCTTTAAGTGAGGGATAAAGGGGAAAGAGATGGCCAATTGGAAGACTGATTACCCAGTTTTCCCTAATGGACAGTCTCTAGAATTATTGTTCTCATTTTTAGATGTACGGACTGAGACTTAAAGTTTAAGCAATACCCAGTTAATTGATGGAGCTACCCTGGAGCCTTTTGCATAATAGAGCTGTGCTTTCTCTTCACTGGTCTTTCCAGCCTTTGTGAACAAGCAGACAATTTTTAACTTCACAAATTATGCAGATACTTACTTGAAATTTGTCGTTTTAGTATCTGTTGCGATATACTTAATGAAATAGAAGACCTATGAATTCTTCAATATTGTTAAACATTGTAAATTTGATTATTAATAACACCTACATATGCTTGGAATATTATAGCATATATATGGCAAGATTAATTCATTCTATCAGTGAGTTTAGAACACCTCTGATTCCCAGACTCTGGGATAACTGTATGGTTTTGACTCATAGTAACTCTGTATAAGGTTTCTAAGGCTATAAATCTTTGCCGGAGCAGAGAAGTCTCATCTTTCTCCTGCTGAGCGGCTGGTGGGTTTGAACTGCTGATCTTGTGGTTAGTAGTCCATTGCTTATATCCTACAGTGACACCAGTGCTGTTGTTGTTGTGTGCTGTAGAGTTGCTTCCGACCCATAGCGACCCTGTACAGGGTTTCTGAGGAGTGATTGGTCGGTTTCTAACCACACATCTTGTGGTTAGCAGTTCAGTGCTGATCCTACAGTGCCACACCAGGACACTCTTTCTCTCTGTGTATATATACACACACACACACATTACTTTAAAGCGTCTGATAATTTAAGGTTTAATTTGCCAAAGCCAGGGCCAACGTGCCTTTAGTATGTAACTCAGGTGGTCACACAGGACCTTAATCTAATTTGGTGTTGTTATTGTTATGTGCTATCGGGTCGGTTTTAACCCATAGTGACCCTGTACAGGGTTTATGAAGCTATAAATCTTTACGGGAGCAGGAAACTTCATCTTTCACCCACTGGGCGGCTGGTAGTTTCAAACTGCTGACCTTAAGGTTCGCAGCCCGATTTTTAACCACTACGGTACCAAAGTTCCTTAATTTAAGAAGGGCCCTATGTTGATTAAATGTCCTGATACCACCATCTTCACATTCTTAATTATTTTTTTGTCCTGTTAATTCTTAAATCATTTTATCTTTGAGTTCACATCTTGGTAAGGCAAGTCTGTTGGGGCAATGGAGCATGAATGTGAGAAGCAAACCTGCTGGGTGCAGCATGGTTCAGACCTGCAGGCCCAGCAGGCAATAATCCATGCACCAAGCACTGGACCCAGCAGCAAAGCATGCCTCAGTGTAGTCTGGGATGCCAGGTTGCAACAGTAATTTCTTTTAGAAGGATCAGAACGAGGCTGGTCCCTGTGAGGTACAGATTTCCCAGATGTCTGACTTTTCCAACATGTTATACCACTCCATAATCCTGGATATCAATCATCACTCCTCCCCTCCCTCATGTCCCAGGGTTCTTGCAGAACTCACAACTGTCAAAGGAAAGGCCTTGCAATTGTGGAGGACAGCAAGCCCCAAATCCGTAGTCCAGAGATCAGTCTGGAGGATTCTCCTCGCCTACATAGTCTCAGGAGCTGAGGAACCCTAATTGGCAGGTCAGGACCCACTGCCGATGCTGTGGCTGTTGATGAATCAGGTCAGGTGATAGACCACAAGTTGCACTGGAAGTCAAACGGAGATGAGCCAGATGCAACATTCAGAGCAAACGATTTTTAGGGTACATCTAGGACTATAAACCAAGGGTTTCAGTGCAAATTAGAATCTTATAATTTGTATGAAAATTATAAGGTTATGTAAAAGTTATTCCTTCCTTAAACTTTGTCATGCTGTGATTGCCTGTCTCTTTTTTCTTTATTTCTCCCCTACTAAAGTTTCTAGCAGTAAACTTGTTAAAACCACAACTATTCTGGATTTGGGTTCTTTATTGCATTTGGAGTCAGATGTAGCATTAGGCATGGAAGTGTATGGGAAGGCTACTGGAAAGCTGAGGGAGGCTAGGGAAGCAGGGTGAGTCCCTGGGGTTAGTGTTAACAATGACAAGGAAAGAGCAAGGGTAGCCCAATGGGCCTGATAAAACACCACTCAGGGATTCCCTGACTGCAAGCTCGAAACAAGGTAAGTATTGTTAACTCTGAGAGCTTAAAAGCACATAAATAGAAATTGTTTATTGTAAAAACTGGAGAAATAAGAAAACCAAAACCAAGCCACACGACTCTTCTTGCTTCTATTAACTTAAAAAATACTGTTTTGAAATTTCTTTCTATATGCCTAGAAGATAGAAATTTCATATATTTATGCTTTTCCATAGATTGTATTATACTGTTTGAAACCTTGCTTTTTTTCATGTAGGTGTATGGCATTTACATCTTTCCGTTAGAAATGGTACAAGAAATATAAAGCAAT